AGAACTTGATACACTCCGTGTCCAATAAACACTCACTGCGGACTTGATACACATAATCATATTTTTCCCTTTTCAGATCACACACACGAAAGATACACCCCAACTGTAGAATACCGCTTAACGCGGATCACCTCAGATCGACCTTAAAATCAAATGGGATATTAAATCCGGGCGTCTGAACATCGTTACAGTCCTAGATTTAGTTCAAAAAGTCCTGGGTTGAACCGAGGACGTCCTCGGTTGACACAGGTCCGTGATTAGAAGGTGTGTCGAGTGGACGTTAAACCCCATCATTGGCTGCACTTTCATGAATAAGCAATCTCGGGCAATGAAATTAAGCACGTGGTACATAACTGAAAACGGCGACATTATTAAGTCTATATATTGCATTAAAATATGACTTGTTGATTTAGAGTCAAATCGACTATTGGCATGATGTAAACATATCGACATAGTTTTTGTCGTTTAGAGGTGAATTTAATGTGTCGAGTCGACTTATTAAGTCGATTTTTTGTAATATAACTCATGAAGTTGACATATTTTAGTTCGATGTGTTGCGATATTATCTCAATAAGTAGTGACCCAAATACGTTTCCATAGCAAAATTGTCTTTTCAGAGATAAAATCTTCATAACAATTACAATATGTTAACATATTACCAACTTAATATTGCGGTATTTATCGCGCTATTGACCCCTATACGCTTCCATGCCTAACAACCACCACAATGAAGATCTACTCAGAAAGAAATGAAATGAAATGAAATGGGGTTTAACGTCCTACTGTTCTGCTCCTAACCTGGGCTAATGAAGACGGGCATACGCCATACAGTGTGCTATGAGGGAAATTTTGCCCGGACAGCGGCACTACGGCCTACTCTTATATCGAATTCCAACTGCCAAGGGATCTTTTACGTGCACGCCAATGTGTAAACGGGACCTCGGTTTTTCGTCCCATCCGAACGACTAGACAGCTTTCCTTGTCAGCCCCTCCGTCCTGCATCACTGACAAGGGAGAACCACGCCGGAAAATCTGGATGAACTTTCTCGGCCAATGCAGGGATCGAACACCCTAACTCCAGGCTAGCGAGCTAGCGTCTTACCCACTTAGCCACGTGATCCCCTACTCAGAAAGAAATGTCAACACTGGTTTGTTTGTCAGTAAACATCAAAACCTTCAAAATTATTCCACGATTTCTACCCGAAAAGCCGACGGATGGGAATTATGTAACAAACCAAATCGCGCTATACGTGGATATAGAGGGGATCTGTCCCTGCTTTCCTATTGGCAATTTCTTTTCCTTTTTTGGTTGGGGGGGGGGGGGTGTCTCTCAGATTAATAACCGAAATTATGTATAAAATTGCAATATTGCTATTGTTTAGTTAGCTTTCCGCTTTATGGGTTCTCTTCCGGCGTGGTTTCCTCTTGTCGGTGATGCAGGATGGAGGGCCTGACAAGGACAGCTGTCTAGTCGTTCGGATGGGACGGAAAACCGAGGTCACGTGTACACATTGGCGTGCACATAAAAGATCCCTTGGCAGTTGGAATTCGATATAAGAGTAGGCCGTAGCGCCGCTGCCCGGGCAAAATTTCCCTCATAACACACTGTATGGCGTATGCCCGTCTTATTAGCCCAGAGGAGCAGAACAGTAGGACGTTAAACTCCATTTCATTTCATTTATGGGTTGTCATAATACTACACGTTCCCTACCCTGACAAGTTCAAAATTTTTAAATATAACTATTATTTTTAAGAATGTTTTGGATATCGCTTCGCCCAGCTGGTCGTCATTGTTTATAAACAATAGATGTGCAATTTGTGTACAACTGAGTTTCATTTATATAAACTATCATAAGGTGCATTGAGCATATTAATAATTAATAACCATTAAAACGTAATAAAAGTTTGCATTTTACCCAGTTTCAAATAGCTAAAAGAAATTTATTTTGTTCGTTCTGCACGACTGTCTTTCATTTCTTGTATCTCTTTCTCGGAAATATTGCACCAAATTGCCCGGGGTTTTTATTTATCTAAAAATCACTACCTTTTTTAAAAAAAAGTCCCCAAATATGTTGTCCTCGATTCGCTTCATGGATAATTATGGATAATTCAAATTTTAATAAAGCCGCGTAATACCGACACTGGTAAGGTATATGGAAGCATGACATTTATTATATAAAAACGTGAAAAGTATATTTGCATAGACCAAGCTTCAAGAACTCCTAACATATCTTTATCGAAAATGTTGTATGCACATATGAAACTGAAGCAAAGAATGTAACAAACTCTTTTAAGAGCGTTGAATATGATAAAATGCCCATTTTAAAGCTAGCACTGTAAGATATGATATGACATATTTTGTTATTTTGGGTGATAAAACACGTATCAATCACCAAGAAAATAACATTTTTTTACCAACTGTTCAGAAAATGGAAGAAAACTTAATTTAGAGTGATCCTGTATTTGTAGGTGTTTTTTTTCAATTCGGTCTAGATTTGTCAAGACAAATAATTCCTGGTAATCTCACCAATTGATAAGCATCTTGTGGCGAGGAGATTAAGGTTGTTGATTAGGTAATCAAGTTTAGTTTGTTGATCATCATGGACGCCGCCGCACGATCATAATATTAATCAGATTGGTGTACAATTGGCTAAAGTATTTATAATATATACGGGGATCACGTGGCTAAGTGAGTAAGACGCTGGCTCGCTAGCCTAGAGGTCGGGTGTTCGATTCCTGCATTGGCCGAGAAAGTTCATCCAGATTTTCCGGCGTGATTCCCCCTTGTCAGTGATACAGGACGGAGGGCCTGACAAGGCGGCTGTCTAGTTGTTCGGATGGGACGAAAAACCGAGGTCCCGTGTACACATTGGCGTGCACTAAAAGATCCTTTGACAGTTGGAATTCGATATAAGAGTAGGCCGTAGTGCCGCTGTCCGGGCAAAATTGCCCTCATAGCACACTGTATTGCATATGCCCAGTTCGGAGCAGAACAGTAGGACGTTAAACCCCATTTCATTTCATTTCATTTATAATATATACTGGCTTTAAGTACAAACGATTTTGATATGACCATTTTATCTGCTCTTAAACCATAGTGTTTTAGATAATAAATCAGACGAATAAAACGCAAATAACGAGAAGACAAACCAAATGTGGAGTGAAATTAATAAAAGCAATATAAATTTTGGGACAGTATGCTAATTTTAGGAAGACTTTTAATTTGTAACAGTCCTCTATATTTGCTCGGGGCAATTACGACGACGATTTCCTAACTCTGTATCATTAACTGACAAGCATAACTGGCTATATAATCCAGATATCCCTTGCAATGTAATGTGAAATGCGATATGAAATCCTTGGCTATTATATTTCTCTACCTATAGAGAGAATAAAAACTGAAATACTACAGAAGAAACTAGTCCAGTTGGTTTTGCGATTTGAACCCTTATTAATTTTAAAATTGAAGCGTGTCAGCCCCAGGTTTGAAAGTAGCAAATAATAGTATCGTCTACCTAACCTCGTATGTTGTAATCATGGTTTTCTACCCTAGCCAATAATTGAACTAAAGTTATATAATGTGTTATTCGGTGTGTGTTGGGTGGTTCAGGGGGTGGGGGGCGAATGGTTTAAAGTGCTTGCACGTACGTGACAAGGAGTGGGGTCGCATGTCCAACCCCGTGGGTTTTCTCCGAGTCCTCCGGTTTCCTCCCACTTCTGGCTTGCGTTTGTGGTTTCGATCCCTGGTGTGAGCGTATGTGACTTGGAGATTGGGGCACCTTCTCAAGCTCGTTGGTTTACTTCGGGTACTCCTGGTTCCTCCCTGGTTCCTCCCACTTGAAAGAAATCCCTGCGCGTGCAATAAGATATGAAAAATAAGACTTGTCTGTGATATCACCTTCGGTGGAAGCGGACGTTAAACACTAAAAACAACATATTATATTACTCACAATACACTATCAATACCCATTTAATTCGTACACCCGCGTGTATCATGTACTGTACACGAAAATTTCAATTTCATCACTTTATATTGTCTCTCTGTTGATACTCTGATTTATTTTGTACATTTCCCCATTCAATTATTGACTATTAGTGTACAATTTAGCAAGGATTAAACACTGTGATGAGCGAATAAATAAATATTGAATAGAATTTATTATAAAATATTTTATTGTAAAACTTAGTAAATACGTCCAATGTTTAATTGTCAGTGTATCTTTATGCTTCCTGGCACATAGTTTCGAAGGGTAAATTAAGAAGTCATAAAAATATTAACAATGTGTATTCATTAAGCCTATAAAACTAGCTTAAAACAAAAGCAGTTTCAATGAAATATTGATACAGTATTTACTATTTTCCATATAGACCCGAAATGTTTCATCCAGATGATGTTTATGAACGTACTCCATACAAAAAATCTTAAAGTAGTCCCTTGAAAAAAACTGGAGAAAAATGAAAGAAAAGTTTGATTATATGGACTTGGTGTGCTAAAACAAAGATAGTTTTCAATATTTCTTGATGGTTGGAGTGTATTCATTCAGGCATCTGTGTGAGACTTTGTGATTTCCCATCTTGTGTTGTGTACCCTGTAGCTGCGCAGTGTTGAATGGTATATTTGCTTTATATTTTCCAAGTTACAAATTCCAGAGTCATTATTGTTGATTTTCTTTCATTTTTTATTGTTCAGTATCATCTCAAGCACATTTAGATACCAAAATACAGGCACTAAGGCTGTTGTGAATGATTTTGTGTGGACCCTCTATTTCAGGTGTTGTGATAATTTCTGTCACTTTACCTTGCCCTTAATACGTGCATATTAAACATACCTATATTTGTCCAATATAAATCGGAGGTAGATAGACAGTTTTCAAAAGGTGCACTAGTAGCTGTCTTTCAGAATTTGACCCATTACCATGTTGATAAAACTGAATGAAAAGACAAAGTTTTTTTTTTAAGATATATGTGATTTTGTCATTTAACTATTTAATTGTTTCCCCTCTATATTTCAAGATGGAAACTTGTTATGATGCTTCAAGGATCGTACACCAACTTTTGTGGGCATAGTTTTTCTACCATTTTTTTTGTCTGACTAATAGCTATAGTAGTGGGAATATAAGTCTTCTTGTTGGGATATTCATTACGAGGGTCTTCATTTTTCCACGAAACGTAATGTAGACGACGCCATTTAGTCATGGCGTGGAAATGACTAGTCCACTGTTTATGGTAAGCCGGAAACAGTTCAATTAAACCTCCGTGTTTAGGTAAAAATAATGTATGGGATAACCCCGCTCCATGCATACCAACAAGAATATCTGTTTCCGAAACCAATTCTAATTGCTTTGCCATTGAAAGTGTATCTAACTGTATGGCCTTAATCTCGTGGCCTCGTAATAGTTTAGTAACGCTTTCCAAGAATTCATCTTCGTTTTTGATCTTTCGCTGGATAACACCGGATGGGTTTCGAGGATGAGCGACGTAATCCCTTCTCCAAATTATCGTCACAGATAGCTTAGAACAATTTAGCACCTTCGCGTTAGTTATTTCATGTTGAAAAAGGAAAAAATCTCTAAATCTTTCTAAATACGGCACATATCGCAAGTTGCAGTTCTGAAGGGGGCAGTTATAGCTTTGTATATTCCATATCATCTTCGCAAACTTAGTCTCATTTGCCATACGACCTGCACGGTATATTTTACCAAATAATCGTTGCCATGTGACGTCAAGGGTACCAGCAGGGTGGCCATCTATGTATAATATATTAATAGTGTCGGGGGGTATTTGAAAAAGTATCATAATTAGAAACACGTTATAAAAATCTGTCATTGTTTGATAGAGGTTTACATATTCATATCGCTGCACGGCGATTGTTATTCCGTTGATTTGATTTGCTATCGTCGAATTTAGATCTGCAACACACGTCACGCTCTTAAACCAATCGTTTAAATGTTTTCGACCCTTGAACGGATGGTGGGGCAAATTTCGACAGTTTAATCTAAAATAAGATTTCTTCAGTTTGAAATATTCTTCCGATTCTTTCTGATTCCACAAAGAAGACATATTTTCGCCGCCCGCTCGACCAGCTGCACGAAATGGATCAATGATCACGTCATGGAGTACAGCAAACTCGCTCCCATACATGACGTAATGTCCTGTTGAATCTGAACGAGAGTCATTAATCCACTTGCAAACATACGTTCGGTTAGTCTGATTTTGACCATGTTCTTTCGTGCAAGGCTTGAACAATGGCCATGTTGGTTGTTGGTGATTGACAACATATCTGTGTACGTATAGGTCTAATTTGCTGATATCCCCCAGATAATCATTTCGGTCAACTACCATGAATAAGACCGTGTTTATAATGATGTAGACAACAGCAGATACAAATGCAAACGATCTCATCTTTCCATTCCGGCGACACATAATTCTATGGCAGTAATACAATTTCCAAACGTGACTCTGTTTATGGATATTTTCTTGCGAATTCGAAATATTTTACCACTGAAAAAAAGATAAAGAAAATAAATACCAGGGAAAAAACAATTAGGTGCAAATCCAACAGTATGCGATTTATATTAGCGAGTTATCCATATTACATTGACGGGGTTCAAACCAATTTTATACGCTCACAAACTGTCCCATCGAGTGTACCCTGTCCGTACGTTCGTTAACTATTGGCCTGTGAAGGCTACCGTTCTACGACCTTCCGTGCCCGAGTTAATATACCCCGTCTTCCAAAACCCCTTTTGAGCAACGGTTTTTAACAAAATAGTTCATAATTTGGAATGAAGCATTGGGGTCACAGGATTACAAACCCAATTGAATTTCAATAAACTTGTGATCGTCCGATCTGTGTGAGATTTATACGCCGCTTTTTAATCGCATTTCAACAACTTCCGTTAACTTCAAGGGTTTTGGCCCTTATAAGACTTTGCACTTTGTAGAACATTGTGAACGTTCTAATGACGAAAGTTCTCTCTCGCCCTGTATGAAAAATATGAGCATTATTTAAATTAGTGAAGCGCGAAGAGGCCCATTGAATTTCAGCAACGATATTATACCTATAAAGATTTTGCCTTGTGCCGGAAGGCTTAGCTGCTGAAATTTTTCCTTTCGCATAAGATTCTGTCGAGACATGGGTGTATTTACACGCATTGTATGGCTATTGTAACAATATTGCTAGAATTCTTGTTCTTATAATTAATGATGGCATTATATTGTATTAATTAATGTCTTTGGCTAATTGTACTAAATATGCACTAAAACTATGAGTGACAGGTTGACACATAAAAAGAGTTATAGGATCAAAACATAGCTGGTTCTATGTGTCAACAAAATATCACCAGATCACGCGTGATCGGAAATTTACTAATTGCATCATTTGGCTTAAGTAACCAATCATATCAGTAATTGTACAGGTTCAGGGTCATGAATAGCCTAGTCTGTGTGTGATGTCAATATGGGTGCTATAAAAGAAATCCTGACAAAACTTTAAGACAGATTTTCATTAGATTCCGGAGAGATTACCATCTGAGTTCCTAGACCATAAGATGTAGCAATTTCTATCAGCAGACTCGCCCCAGGGAGTCTGGCTGGATGGGGTTTGAAAGAAAGACTTTATTATATTATGCATTGCACCATATGTAAGCAGCTTAATATATAAAATGTAAAAAGGAACTGCTGTATTGTTATTCCTGGTAAGACAAACGTCTTAACTAACTGAGATAGATAAAAAGAAGGGGAGGCTGAGGCGACAAATGAAAATACTAGACGATCACAAGGCTACTACGATATGTAGTAAGAAACGATTCATGGGTCATACGTAGGATGTGGCGACCGGTTTTAGTTTGTTGTCCGCTCTAACAAAAGACCCATGGTACTACACTATCTCTGTGACTTTTTAGCAAAGTCCCCATCCCCAGTAAAAAACAACAACAACAACAAAACAGAGAGAAACCAAAAGCACGCGCCGATGTGGAGTACATGCGCAATTTATGAGATTCATTAACTGTGATATTCGTATTTCGTGTCATGGACATCATCATATTATTATCTCACCATTCAACCATCTAGCAATATCGTAGGATTCCCCACGAAGGGGTTTTATACACGTAGCATTTTCGACAGAAAAATTTTGTTTGTACCTTTTGGGGTTTTCATGTAAGATTGGTAACTTATTACTATGACAACTTTGTATTTCTTATACCCTTAGTTAGAATTCGAGCAAAGGACGTATAAAACAGAAACTCGAAAATGCGCTTCATATTTATATCGGTAAATGACCTGCTGAGCGGAGCAAGGAAATAACATTCCTAACGTGATAATTATATTTTGATCACACTCTAGATTGGCCTATGTCCCAATTTCCCTTGTTTTGTAGATTTGTTTAGCCCTTCCAACCGTTATACTGATACAGTGGCTCCGTACCGTTGAAAACTACAATATTGCAAACATTGAATCTCTAATAGGAATACCGGTCCACAAATGGTCCAATTCCTTTCAGTAGCTACAAAGATATTATGGACCAACATTCCACCAATTTATGATGCTACCTGCTCTTTTTCGCGAAGACTATTTGTTGAACCTGTTTTAATCCGACTGAATCCATACCCGGAGGTTATCTACCCTTTATATTTTGATTAGGTCTAATCAGTAACTAGCTAATTAGGGATTAGGGATTAGTAGTTGACTAAGTTTGGCATTCTCAAAAGTCAGATTCGCTAACCTTAGACTAGAATTTATCTTCGTCAACGATTAAGATTAAGTTTTAAAATATGATTGTAAATCAAACATTTAAATCCCTGATTTCATATAATCATTGATTAAAGAGTTTTTGTTTATTATTGACGGAAGGGCCCAGTTACAGGATGTAGATTACAAAAACATTACATTGTGTTTGAGAACCGTGTTTCCCCATCTGGGGTTCAAAGGGATCAGTAGAGTGTAAGCAGGGAGAAAAGGCGGGTCCGTGTAAAAAGACATCCAATTAAATTACAATATGAAATTTTTGGTGTTGTAGAAATGTTTAGTATTGTGACATTAAATTTCAGTACTTGTTATCCGTCACATGTCCCACAGACGATCTCCTTGAGTTCACAAAGTAAATAAGAGTATGAAATGTTTGGTATTGTAGAAATTTTTAGTATTGGGACAATGAATTTCATTAGTTGTTATCCGTCACATTTCCCACAATGAGTTCACAAAGGGGAGGTGCAGACGTGTAATTGTCGGGTGGGACGATTTACCCAATACTACCCAATACTACCCAATACCACCCAATACCACCCCAATACAACCGGTAAATAGATTTTAGATTGCTACCCGGTTTAATCATCTTCTTTAGCTTTGCATTTGGTTTCCAAGATGACAAACTTAAAATAAGAAAACCAAGTATAACGATATATCATATTTTATTCCCAAAATGACCAATCTGTCTCTTTCCATTTGATAGGGTTGGCTGTCAAACATGGTGTGTTTTCTCGGGTCCCCCGGTTTCATCTCACTGTTAAACACCCCTAGGCGCAAGCGAGTTAATGAAATAATATTGAACTGTATGTTAGTCCCGAAATTACCTAGTTAGTTTCGATTGTTTGTATTTATTTTAAAATTAATGCTTTAACAAAACATTTGCATAATGTTTATATTCATTTTTTCATGTCAACTATTAAGTAATATGCTCATTTGGCACCATGATTTGTAGTATTGGGTAGTATGTGGTGATAGTGGAGTGGTATTGGGTGGTATTGGGTAGTATTGGGTAGTATTGGGTAAATCGTAAAGTCGGTAATTGTCTTCACTACAATAGAAAATTCTTCCCCATTAATATCCGAATTTATCATTATTTGTCAGGAATGGTGTATTTACCTTGTCTCAAAATTTCAGTTCCTAATATTGAGTCGGTTGTACGTAACAAGAAGTAGGGTCGCCTGTCCAACCTCGTGGGTTTTCTCCAAGTCCTCCGGTTTTCTCCCACTGCTAAAGACCCCTACGCGCATGCGAATTGTTGAAATAAAATTGAACCATATGTTAGTACCGAAATGCTCTAGTTGGTGTCGAAAGGACGTTAAACACAATTTCTCTCCCTCTCTTTTATTGCAACGAATGCCATTTTGAAAAATCATGTAGCCACTCTTGTGAACAGGCCCGTAGCCAGAGTTTTGGTGGGTGGGTCAATCACAAACAAGGAGGACCGCGGGCTATTTTCCGTACATCATATCATGATTGTAAATCCAGGTCGTTGCATCAAGAACATGTATCCTTTGCGGCTCGACAATTGATGAGGGCGGAGGCGGGGGGGGGGGGAGTCGAAAGCAAATATAATTATAGACAGATATCGTAAGTTGGGTATACGAAGAGAATGTGTGAATTACGGTTTAAAAATAAATAAGGGGAGCTTAGTGGGTAAAACGTTGGCTCGCTAACCAGGGGCTCTCGTGTTCGCTTGCGTTGTTGACCGAGAAGGTTTATCTGGATTTTGTCAGTGGTGCAGAACAGAAGACGCGAAAGCCGAGGTCCCGTGAAGCCACAAGAAACCTTTACAGTCGGAATTCAAAATAAGTATAGTAAGTCCGTAGTGCTGTTGTCCTTGATAAAATACTCTGAAGACAAACTGTCAAGTAGGTGCAGATAGAAGGACGTTAAACCCCATTTCATTTCATAATAAATGTTGTTTCATGCTTATTTGGTTCATAACTGCATAACTAAATGCATCATAATGACATATCCATGCACTTTATCCTCCCTTCAACTACCCCCCCACCCCCACCCCAGATGACTAATATTTGGGGTAACTTAGTCAAAGATTAAGTACAAGTCAATGTTCCAGAATATCACATTTTATGGTATTCTAACAAAGATTAACTCAATGATTCAGCCAATCAAATTTTAGTTTAAAATTTAGTCAGCGTTCCAGAATAAGACTGGCCAGAAAATCGGAGAATAACTCTATGATTAGCTCTCATCTACTTTCGAAAATATGGGCCTATGTAATTAATCTGGGTACATATTGGCGTGGGTTAAGCCATGAGAAATTTGATATTTTTCTAAAAATGCAATTTATGCAAAGTCACTTTAACAGAAAAGCCTACAATGTCTCCTAGTCTTGAAAAAGCACAAATATTTCAATAAGGATGTTGAGGCTTATTACTTACCTGTGTATTTGTTACTATCCCGTTAGTGAATGTATGAAATAGTAGTATCATCATAGATTTTCATATATATATATCACAGCTGTTGTGCCTGATCAACTATCTTTATTGGTAGAACTTTATATCATGGTGACCGTTTAATAGTGTGATTATTTAAAAACCACAATGATCTTTGAGCCTGCTTGAGTATGTCCTCTAAACGCAAAGGTGTCGCAAATAAACCAGTTTAAAAAAAAGGGGGTTCCAAACTAGTGATCCGGCGACAAGCAGTATCTGGTCAACTCTATTTATCTCGACAATCGGTGCCTGAATACTGTAAGACTGCATTTTTCAAATTTTCTGGGGGAGGTCCCCATACCCACCGTAAGGGCTCGATACTTTGGCGCTCATGATGGCGCTACGCCGATGTTGGGAATTAAGTTCCTTCGTTTGACACGTTTCACTCTGATCGGATAAACTAGTGGTCAGACGGCAGGCGGTATCTAGTCAGATCTATTTACCTCGACAATCAGTGCCTGAAATACTACCAGACTGCATTTCCGGGCCGGGAGTCTGTTTTTCAAAATTTTAACCTTCTAGTTTCCCCCTCCAAACAAATCTTTTCAGATTCATAAGGATACCTAGCATTTTTTTTTCAAAACACGGATTTTAGAGTCTCGAAGCACGGATCTGTAGGTACGTTAAATGTAACACTACAGATAACAGATGATCCGCATAATTGATAAGACCTTTATTAAGAAAATGAAATAGACATAATTCGGGAGGAGCTTTATTCCAAGTCTGACTTACTGTCAGTAAACGCCTGCTTATATAGCGTTCAACAATTAGGGAAGAGACAAGGGTGATCATCATATAGTCAGGTCAAGGTATGATAAACTGACCACTACTACATTCTCTTTAAAGTTATGCCGAGTGCTATACACAGATCATGTGTAGCTTGTAAAGGACATATTGAATTAATTAGATGTTTATACACAGGTGAAACGTCAATATCATATATTATCAAAACTAACAGAGTTCATTAAGTTCTATGTACCCAAATGATCGTTCAGTTTGATGAGATGTACAGATCACTTTGTCACATAATATAATAGGCCCTGAGACTCTTTTATTGTGCATAACTCTAATGTAAATGGTCAACCAAGAGTGCATAATATTCTACCGTGAAGTATTAAAGATCGAATACGACCAGAAACCTTTTAATTTTGTTTATCTGCAATTTAAATCAAATAAAATACTTTAATCTACTTGCGGATGCCACCACAGATATGCACTATTTTGAATTTTAATGATATGTAAGCAGGCATATAAGCCTAGTATTGCTCGTCATTTATCTGAACTTAATCATACTAGCTGTTGAATATGCATATTGCCCGGAGGTCGGGTGTTCGATCCCTGCATTGGCCGAAAAATCTACTTTAATCTACTTGCGGATGCCACCACAGATATGCACTATTTTGAATTTTAATGATATGTAAGCAGGCATATAAGCCTAGTATTGCTCGTCATTTATCTGAACTTAATCATACTAGCTGTTGAATATGCATATTGCCCGGAGGTCGGGTGTTCGATCCCTGCATTGGCCGAAAAAGTTCATTAGAGTTTTCCGACGTGGTTTCCCCTTGTCAGTGGTGCAGAACGGAGGGCCTGGCAAGGACAGCTGTCTAGTCCTTCGGATGATACGAGAGGTCCCGTGTATATATTGGAATGCACGTAAAAGATCCCCTGGCAGTTGGAATTCGATATAAGAATAGGCGATAGTGCCGCTGCCCGGGCAAAATTCCCCTCATAGCACACTGTATGGCGTATGCCCGTCTTCATTAGCCCAGTATAGGAACAGAACAGAAGGACGTTAAACCCCATTTCATTTCATTTCAGCTTTAGAAATTCAACAGTCTAAGCTCTGGTAGGCTACTTATTAATGGTATTCTTGGATTGATTGGCATTCATGGCCATTGGTTATCTCTCAATAAACGTCGCTTTAGTGTAAACAAACGTTAATTTGTCGTCAATAAATTGGCTATGTTTCGGCAACAATTCAATATAAAATTTTAATGTTTGATATGTGTTTGTTGTGTGTTTTATTTGTGCTATCTGTTGTTCTAGGTTCAAAATGAAAGGTTTGAAAAGGTAACAAATAATGGTTATTGAATCAAAATATTGGTTTTAAAGGTTAAAAATACAATTTTTTGGAAACATGGAGTCACTTCCTACGGAGGGCCTGACAAGAAACAGCGACTAGTCGTTCGGATGAGACGAAAATCCGAGGTCCCTTGTGCACATTAGCTTGTATGTAAAAGAACCCTTCGCAGTTTGAATTTTAAATAAGATCCACTGCTGAGGTAAAATTTCCCCCATAGTATACTTACTGTCGTATACCCGTCTCCATTAGCCCAGCAGGACGTTAAACCTCATTTCATTTCGATTCCTGTGTGACCATAGTATATTGTGTATAAATGAATATATTAAAGATTTTATATTTTATTATATACCATACACATTTTCCATATAAAAATTTATATACTAATAATTTAATCATCTTGGTTATACGAATTTATAGCTGAGCAGAAATTGGACAATGCAAATATTTAAAAAGATTAAATACTGGGTGAATTTATGATTTAAGAAAACTAATTAAATCTCAGGAGGTACCAATATTTAAAACGGTTAAATACCGGGTAATTTTATTACTGAAGAATAATAATTAAATATCAGAAGATACCAATATTCAAGAAAAATTAACTAAATATCGGGCTATGCTAATATTTAAGAAAATTAACTAAATGTTGGGACATGCTAACACAAACAAAAAGAAATATGGCAACTGAATAAGTAACTTAAAATTGTTGCAGTAAACAATAACATTTGTCTATATCTCTGGATACTAAGTTGTATTATTAGGGCACACAAGTCAAGATGTTTAGACCTTGAATCATCAGCCTGTTGTTTCAGGTTCGTCCTTACTTCCAAATCGTCGTTCGATCATACATCTAAATTGCCGTTCGTCCCTACTTCTAAATTGCCGTTCGTCCCTACTTCTAAATTGCCGATCGTTCCTACTTCTAAATTGCTGTTCGCCCCTACTTCCAAATCGCTGTTCAAGTTGTGCCATTTTGCGATGCAATAGTTCTAAATCTTGGCGCCTTTCATCCCTTCTGCTCATACTATCTTGGTCATTCCCTATCCCCAAATCTCTTTTCATTTCACCTATCGCTTTGCCCAGTCCACCGTGTTGTTGTTTTATTTTGTCTATTTGTCGTTTTTGTTCATTCAGAAATCGTCGAATCTGTAGCTCTTCAATGGTCATATAATCTCGTTCTTTATTATCAGAATCATCGTCATCATCGATTTCCATAAAATCAACATCATCATTGTCATCATCAATATTTACTTTCTGAATCTGAAAAAAAACAAGAAGAATTATTCGATGTAATGCTTTGACAATAAAAGATAAAAGATTGTATATTTTAATATTTTACTTTTTTTTATAACAGCCTTGATTCAAGAGAGAACTTTCCCAGCCATGCACAGATACAGTAGTAAAAGCAAAGGTCCCTTATCATCATCGCGCTCATGCTCCTCATAGGATAAACGAAGTACATAATTCAAAATGCACTTTAAGGGCGTATGTCTTTATTTATTGGAACTTTTTTAAAAAAACGAAAATTGGTCTGAAGCACATATTGATGTAATATGAATGTATATAAAATGATTTGCGCTCAATTTTAAAAGAAATTATTGCACTTTCAAACCAATTATATTCGGCGAAATACATGAACAGTTCAATTATTATTTTGTCATTTGTGAATCGGGCACTATTAATTACTTTCGCATTGTCTTGTAGGATATTTTTTAATTTGTTCATAACAAAATTCCAATAATTCGCTTGCACGTTAAGCTGTGGGAGAAACCCGGAGGACCCGGAGAAAACCCAGGAGGTTGGACAGGCGACCCTACTCCTTGCCATACAAGAGGAAATCGAAACCATGCCGCTTAACTTCATGACAGATCTTATGATCAAACGCACACACGTTAGGGACGCATTTGATGAAATGCATAAATGTTGGTACTCGTAAGCTTAGTATAGTTTTACTCCCAGTTTCATTGTAAAATCGATTTACATATACGTAAGATTTACTTTGCTTTCTGAAACTGGACTCTGATCCTTATAATACCCTGCATATACGAAACGCTTAATTGATGTCCGTTTTGACGATATTTTATGGTTACGGGGTTAATAATGGCAAGAAGCAGAACCACTAGAAGTTACATGGTTCTTTTGCTTATTCGAACACAATCAAATAAAAACCATCGCCCATAATTACTATCAAGAGTAGGGGTGGTAATGAGCAGACCATGTTCGTTATATAAGGTCTTCAAAAATTCCATTCGAGGGGCGTTTGGTGGCAAAATGATATTGACTAAACTATTCATAATTAATACCGCGTTATATTGACCATCATTCGGTCTTCATTATCCCAGTTAGTGAAGAATAGTTAGGATGCTAAACCCCATTTCAGTTGAATTAGCATCACTCGAAAGTAAAGTATAATAAGCTTTCTCGTTTATATCGGCAATGGTACAGCAATGGTACGGAAAATACCGAGGTTTTTCCGATTGAATGTTTCTAAACGGGAATACCCAGTAGAAAATGAGGGGATTTCCCTAACACACTGTTGCGAATGTAATTCAATTGGGTTTGGTGTGTTTATATTTAATTAAAACGTTTTGTTTGTTTGTTTTGGTGAAAATATTCATTTGCCAAAGTAAAGTGAATAGGAATATCATAGTAGTGTTTCAGAGTAGAACAAAATTTCCTTGAACGGAGTATGAAATACTTCCTGTATGGACTCCAAAGCGTCATAAACGTGCAACACCCCATAAATGTTATTAGCGTCGATTTTGATTTAAAACAAGACATAAAGAAGAAAACATGTATCGTACTTACCCCTCGTGACATTTTTAACATTGATTTGGTTGAATAAACGAATATTATGATGCTTTGTACAGTTTCTACGTGTAATGTCTTCAATTTCGATTAAACCCATGTAACTATTAATAGACCAGTGATGCGTCATCCATTCATTCGGTAACACGTGTGATAACGTAGGAGACGGAAATTTGGTCGTAGCAAATTTGGGAACTAGAAATTTTATATTTTAAATATAGTCCCGAAATCATAAGAAAACATGATATAAGGTTTTTCTTACTGGAATTCTGGGATATTCTCAATTTACGAACATTTAAACATAGCAAGATAAAGTCCTCGACTTGGGTTATGCTGAGGAAGAAAGACTTCAGAAAAAAAACCCTCAGTTTTTCTTTTTCTCGGGTTATTTTCTCCAGTCTTTCTTTCCCCAGCATAACCTCAGTCTCGTGCTTTATCCCACACTTAATCTCTGGAATGGGTTGGCGGATTTGTCTCACATTTTGCGCACATCTGATTTTGACATATGCAATGTAACACCGATCGGCCTTTAGACCCAGAATTTCAATTGTCTCTTTTAAGGGATGGTCCATCATTTTTCACGTGAACGTATTATGATGTCGTCCCTGTCCGTCCGGCCGTTTAAATTTGTTTTTGAACATTCTACAGGTCACCCAAAGATCTCTGATGGGTTCGATCTTGACAGGTATCGGATCGTAACCTCGTGGATTATTGTCCTGATTGTACGAAAAATCGTGTTTTCAGATTGTGACCCCTCTAATCGGCAATTCCCAGTAATGAATCAGCTAGTGGCTACACGAACACAAACCATAATCTAGTATACTATTAGAATAACGTTTGAACAGAGACGTCTTGAAAGCTTTAAAAGTTGGTGTTTAAATGTTTTACATCTCGCAACCTCGACGAAATCTGCAGTTGACCTTGACCCTAACAATCCTGGGTTACAGCTATGGACTCGATCATCCAATATCTAAAGAATGAAAGCGTTTTACTATCCCCGGTTCCTGGGATTTTTTGACTGGGGCAGAAATCAGTTGACCCAACTAAAAAATTTCGCTTGTTATTCTAATTAAAAAATTTGTTACTTATATTTGCAATACTGTGTTTAAAAACAAGTGGTTGTCATTCAAGATACATCCACATTTTGCAAGAAATGGACAGAGAACAAGCAAAACAGAGAGATTTTTCGTACTATCAGGGGCTATATAATGCAGGAAGTTGTGGTCCGATACGCCCAAGTATCAAAAGGAACCCAGATCTTTGGGATGTAAACGTGTATTTTCAGTTTCATCAAAATACTATTTCAGTCCGATTTTCACGAAATTCAAACTCAACTGTCATTATTCGTACTACCAGGGGCTATATAATGCAGGAAGTTGTGGTCCGATACGCCCAAGTATCAAAAGGAACCCAGATCTTTGGGATGTAAACGTGTATTTTCAGTTTCATCAAAATACTATTTCAGTCCGATTTTCACGAAATTCAAACTCAACTGTCATTATGGTGTAATGGTGATATACTTAATCGAATAAAAAATGTGACTTCTAGAGGGACCACAAGCTAAAAATGCGATTTTTCAAACAATCAGGGGCCATAATCCATGACATTACGGTCCGATATGCGCGAATATCGAAACCGAGATCTTTGGGTTGTGAACATACATTTTAAGTTTCATCAAATTCAGATTTGCGTACAAGGTGCGGCCATTTTGTCGGGCAGTTTCGGTCCGATTTTCACGAAATTCGAACTCAGCCGTCATTATGCTGTAACGGTAATATATTTAAACGGTTTTTAATGGAATAAAAATTGTGACCTCAAGAGGGACCACAAGCTAGAAACGTGATTTTTAATGCAATCAGCGATCATAACCCAGGAAATTATGGTCAAATATGCCCCAATATCGAATGGAACCGAGATCTTTGGGATATAAACTTATATTTTAAGTTTCGGCAAAATCTGATAAAAGTTGTGACCTGTAGAGTGACCACAAACAAATTGTGCAATGACGTCCGGACGGACAGGGGCGACGACAATTTTTGTTTAGCAGAATCTTATCCCATCAAATAAAGGTATATCCAAAATTAAAACTTTTATGTTTAAAATAACAACACACACCTAAAAAAATATCAAAAAATACTGAGCTTTATTATTTTTAAAAAGTTGGTAAATTGCAATTTATTTTGTCACCGAAAAAAAATGAAAACAAATTTAGGAGATATGACTGCACACAACAAGTAATATCAAATTGACCATATTATGCATCAATGAGTAATAAACAAACTAATAATAATAATAATGAAGTGAATATTTATGATAAAGTTGATATAATTTATGATAAAGTTGATATAATTTATGATAATGTTGATATAATTTATAATAAAGTTAATATAAGTTTTTCTAAAACTTTTATGTACATATACATATCAATGTTCGGATAATTAACATTATTAGGTAAAATGACAAATTATACTATACATGTACTTCTTTTAAACATATCTAATTTGCATCACAATTGTAACAACATTTCAAACTAAAATAATCAAACTTTAACAGGTTTGTGAGCACAAGAAAGGAATTAGATAATGAGTTTATCAGTAATATATCCATAGATATATAAGATCTGTGCAATGGAATCAAAATTATGTAAATGTAAAAACAGTTTTGGAATGACATAAAAAATATATTCAATAACAATAAATTCAATGTGTGATATTTTATAAAAACAAAAAGGACCAGCCTTCTTTAAATAGGATATAAGCTTATTGAATGTTATGTTAAAAAATCAATTATTGGGAATCAATTCAAAAATAAAACTAAGTTTAGTTTCCAGGCCTGAACAACATTTAAAATCCCCAGATATTTTAGTAGGATCCTATATATTTACAGATACAGTTCGACTGCTAAAATACTTAATGAAATTTAAATAAAATATCAATTCAATGTATAAAAAAATCAGATCATGAAACTATATGTATGTGTACAAAACTCTTTTTTAAGTTATTAGAACTATATAGTGAGCTGATCCATCTGGAAATAATTTGGGGGAATGATTTCACATAGGGATTATAGAGTAGGATGGAGGGGGGGGGGGGTTACACAGTGAGAAGGGTTTTGCATAGGGGGGAGTGTTTAACAGAGAGACAGCAGGGTTTTAAACAGGGAGAAGGCTTTACTTGTTTCCAACTGTCAATTCAGAAATAACCTGTATGAAGTAATCTATTTCAATGGCTGAAGAACAGCCTTGGAGTTGGACACTTTGAACTTGGTAAATATATAAAAATATTATACTTTCAAATGGGCTCTCAATACTATAGAATTTGTTTTCAATTTGAAATTTTTAATGATCTATTGTCATCTTTTTAAAACACATATCCTCCGTAAAGACATCTGAACACAGATACACACTATTAATTGGGTTTCCGAATGAATGTTTTGTAGTACTACCGGACTTCTTTATTTGTTGTGTTCCTTGTGATCGTAAATATTACTACAGCAACAATGATTTCACAGCTTTATTAGTAAACTGGAAATAACTTTGCAGGTTCCTCGTTCTCAAATATATAATGACTGGTAAGAATCTCTGGGTGAGCTCTAATCTAGCTCTCCCCTACACCCTAATTTATACCCCCTACTTTCCCAGGTCTTTAATAACCTTGACGTGAATTTCCACGCCATATAAGGAATAAAACTCTATATTTCCCACAACCAAGACAGGCAACATTACCTATTTTTGGTCAACCGACCATAGGTCAATAAACAGCTAGAATTTGTGGACTATTTTGACAATGATTATAATTTAACTAAAACATCACTGTTTTTTACAAACAACTATAACCACGTTCATTTAGTACTTATGATTTGACTTTACAGACCAAATTGAAGAGACAATTTTATAAAGAGCCAAAATTGTCTCAAGGGCCATAGTGCTACAGTTTTTCGTACAAATATTTATTTTAATATGAAGATACACAACTTATGCCATTTTCCTCTAAATACTAGTGATTGTCGATGTTTTAGTGAAATACATGTATGGTGAATAAATTAAATACTGTCAACTATTACTGTACTCATTAACAACCTTGGAGTTGGATACTTTGAACTTGGTAAATATATAAAAATTTAATGTTTTGTTGAGAAAAAAAAAAAAGGAATTAATTTTTGTATCAATTTGTTGTCAATTCTATATTTTTGCTGGTTAACTAAAAAGAGATCTCCTAAAAACAATTATCCCAATTTGAACATGGTGAGGGATTTTGTAAATAAGGAGTGTTATATCATAATAAGGAGTGTTATTGTAATAAGGAGATTGATTTTGTCCCTTCATAAGGTACATGTATTTAGAGTACAAAATTGGGGGTATATATATTAGGGACTTACTTCTAAATGGCATACATTGCACAGTGACACAACGTACACGTTGTATATTAATATAGAGAGAGAGAGAGAGAGAGAGAGAGAGAGAGAGAGAGAGAGAAATGGGGTTTAACGTCCATTCGACACAAACTAGGTCATTTCGGGACTAACATATGGTTAATTTTATTTCATTAATTCGCTTGCCCGTAGGGGTCTTTAGCAGTGGGAGGAAACCGGAGGACTCAGAGAAAACCCACGAGGTTGGACAGGTGATCCTACTCCTTGTCACGTACAACCGGGGAATCAAAACCACGCCAGTTGAATCAATGACAGGCTGTATGATACAGCACGCACATGCTAACCATTCTGCCATCCAACCCCCCGTATATTAATATACCCTGATAAACCAAGACAGTAGGCTTATCTAATAGTTATTAAAGTTGTCAATTATTAAAAAAATACTTAATATGGATTTCCATCATCAATAAAGATTAAATTTGAATTCGACTGACATGCAGTTTTGTGCATAGTTATATGATTTCAATTCAACTGAAATGTAGTCTGGTGCATAATTAAATAATTTTGTGCTTAGTGACAATACAGTTTGTATATGAACACAAGGTTATTTACTCCAGTAAAAATTTTATCTTTACTAATACAATCATCACCAAAAACACCATGACATTTAAATTTACTTTTACATAAGAACTGCCATTATCTCCGTCATCTTTCTTTTGAAATGGATTTTTTCCTGGCGGTAAATTTCCAACCAAAAGATTACTTGGATATTCTGTTTCGAGAACTGAACACCAGTTTTCAATATCGTTATCTGAAAATAAAATCAATTATGGTATATGTATTCAGTACTCCTGAAAAGAATTACTTTATCCAAACGGGGTCTTCCCATATCGCTGACTCATCAGAATTTCGAAAGTCGACCGTGGCACTCTTTGATGGGTTAAAAACGGATTAAAAGCGTTAATGAGGCAGGGACCAGTCATTATTAATATAGTTCACTTAAAATGATTTTTATCAGAATTCAACTCACTCACTAATTAATAAAATAAATATACATGTATTTCATTTAAATTACATGAATTTGAATTTTGTCAGAATTCAACTCACATTCGAAACATAGATATGAACAAGGAAGAATGAATTTGTTAGAATTTTTGGACTATATTGGACACTTTATTGGACACTTTATGCGTGCAAAAAGTTAAAATTATGTGTTATGTTATGTGTTAAAGGTTGTTATAAATTTTTAAAAAATAAATGCTCCCAATATTATCTTCTTAATTAGTTTTATCGTTCATCTTGGGTCTATTGTTCTTTGCCACTCAACCCCTTAACACCGACCAAAATTTTTCACCTAAAACTCGGCGAGTCGTCGATATGGGAATGAACCATCAAAACTATTTACATTGTAATGGGATGGATTTAAATTTTTAGAAAACTAATGGTGGATGTAATAATTTCAATACACAACTGCTGTTTTCTGAACACTTGTAAACTAGATGCTTGTCCACAAAACAAAATGGTTGTATTGACAGAGAGACCCACCATCGCCCCACCCCCCACCCACACCACCACCACCAACCCTTGTTTGTTTTGATAGGTTAGAATGAGACACTCTGCTCCACTCTAAAGCTAACTTACCACCAACTTCACTCATTCTTATTCTGTACCACATATCAACATCCGTTTCTTCACAATTATCACATAATAATTCCACGTATACTGTATTACCAACTGCTGTATTACATTTACGTAAAAAACCCTCCTATAATAAACATGTAAAATATTATGTTAAAGGCACGATAAGAAAAACAATCATAAATATGTTCGGAAGATATGAAACTGAAACAGGGTTTAACATACTACTGTTCTGCACCGACTGGGCTTATGAAGATGGGCATACTGCATACTGTATACTATCAGGGAAACTTTCCGGGACAGTGGCACTATAGCCTACTCTTCCTGCAACACTGACAAAGGGGAACCATGCCAGAAAATCCCGATGAACTTCTGGGTCAACACTGCATGGGATTGAACATGTGACCTCCAGTTTAGCCCGACAGCGGAAGTACGGCCTACGCTTAAATCAAATTCAAAATGACAAGAGTTCCTTTATGTGCACGCAAATGTGTACACCACTGACAAGGGGGAACCATGACAGAAAACCCTGATGAACTTTCTTGGTCAACTAAGGGATCGAACAAGGAACCTCCAAGTTATCGAGCTTTGTTTTCTTAATTAAATGTTAATAATTATTTTGTGTACATTTAAACATGAAGTAAGCTTTAAAAATAAGATATGGTATGAAAAATGCAAGGTCAACATCAACCACTTTAAAATCTACCCCATTACAATTAAGATGAAAAATTAGAAAATAAAATTACATCACACAGGGGCTCATCAATTTTCCTTTCCTTCACACTGAAAGATAAAAAGGAAAAGCGAATTACATAAGCGTAGAAATAAGGCACCGGTTAAAAATCATGTCTGACATAAATTCAGGTTTTATTAGGCACTATCCCTCTTGTACTTGTCATTAAATTATAGGGAGATTCTAATTTTAGACCGGTTGGGGAGGTTCGGGTAATTTCCGGAATCTAAAATGGCCGCTTTATATATAAGTATTTTGGGGAATACTAACCTGAACCTTAACCCTTTTAAGAGGGGTAATAGGTAAATTGAATCCAAGTTAAGTCTTCTAAAAAAGGGTTAGGGTTCGGGTTAGTATTTAACAAAATTCTCATTTATATAAAGTGGTCATTTTGGACTCCGGAAACACACGAACCTCCCCTATATGAGGCACTGATTTGTTTTTTTTTCTGTATTTTGATTGGTATTTTCAAAAAATGTTTATAATTTTCTGATAAAAAGTAAGTTGATTATCAAACAATTTAAAGTATAAACTAACCATATTTTTGTTGATGGCACAGTTTCAATCTAAAAATAAGTAAATATAAATAATTACACAATATCAGAGCCAAGTCAAATTGTTAAACACATAAACAATGATATCCATTTTACACATTGCTCCTTGGCTTACAAGTCAACCAATGAAATGAAATGAAACAGGGTTTAATGTCCTACTCTGCTAATGAAGACGGGCATGCACCGTACAGTTTGCTATGGGGGAACTACACTCGGACAGCGGCACTAGGACCTACTTTTATATCGAATTACAACTGCCAGGGGATCTTTTATGTGAATGCCAATGTGTACACGGGACCTCTGTTTTCCATCCCATCAGAACAACTACATGTTTTCCTCTGCCAGGCCCTCTGCCCTGCACCACTGACCAAAGAGAGTCATACATGACAATCCTGCTGAACTTTCTTAGCTAATTCAGGGATCGAACATGGGACCTCCAGGTTAGCAGAGCCAACGTCTTACTCACTGGACAAAAACTGACCATAAAATGCTCTTAATACAAAACTAGGTCATTCCAGGATTAATATATGGTAATTAATATTCCATAGTGATCAGACGTGGGAGGATTCCAGACACTATCAACGAGGTTTGACCGCCATACCTACTCCTTGATACATACTGCACTCATAACATATGCCGATGACAGAACTGTTCTACAGCTTCATGTTAAGCCATTTGCCATACACCCCACTCCCACACAACTATATAAACAAATTTCTGTTGAAGAACAGACACTCAATCTACCATGTATGGTGGGGGGTGGATGACCGAATGGTTAGTGTGTGCTTGTTGCATCATAAAGTCTGTCATTGAGTCATGGCATGGTTTCGATTCCCCGGTTGTATGTGACAAGGAGTAGGGTCACCTGTTCAACCTTGTGGGTTTTCTCCGGGTCCTCCGGTTTCCTCCTACTGCTAAAGACTCCTATGCACAAGCGAATTATTGAAATAAAATCTAACCGTATGTTAGTCCCAAAATAACCTAGTTTGTGTCAAATGCCTGTTAAAACCCATTTCTTTCTACTCTACATGTATATGGTTGCTTCTACATGAGCTGCAGAACAGAAGGATGTTAAACCCAATTTCATTTCTAATGTGGTTGGAAGATGGTTATGTCGCATAACGCTCGCAAAGTCTACTCCATTTGTTTTCAGGTTTATACCAGTTTTCTCCCATTGTTAAAAACCCCCATACACACACAATTATTGAAACAACAATATACTAACATCTCCCTCAATATCTCTCAAAATACAGCAATTAATCTGACAGCAATTTAGGGTGTTACATTATTTCACTTTACAAAAACTCACCATGACTTCAAACATTCTACCAGCAGCGTTAGTAACTTTAATACATGGATCAGGATGGTCTGTTTTATCAAAATATACTGTAGCTTTATCATAACCTAATGGTCGTCTATCATTATTGTATGAAGAATAATTCCTGGCAATAGACAAAATATACATTTTATTCGTGAATGGATCTACCATATTTTTGGGTAGATTAGGAGCACATTTTTACCAATTAGAGAGAGAGAGAGAGGGATTAGAGAGAGAGAGACAGAGAGATGGGGATTAACGTCCAATCGACACAAACTAGGTCATTTTGGGACTAACTTATGGTTTAATTTTATTTCAATAATTCGCTTGCACGTAGGGATCTGTAGCAGTGGGAGGAAAACTGGAGCATCCGGAGAAAACCCACAAGGTTGGACAGGTGACACTACTCCTTTTCATGTACAACCGGGGATTCGAAACCATGCCAGTTGACTCAATGACAGGCCTTATGATACAGCGCGCACGTGCTAACCATTCGGACATCCAACCCCCCTCATACAGATAAGCATATCTAAAAATGTGACTGATGTCCCAAATAACCAGGAAAAAAAAAAATAACAGTCCTAAGATTTTTGTAAAGTCTAATATACCATAAATCAATCAGGAAGACTCTTTTGATGCCCTAGCTAGTAACCCCAAAAACTAAGTCTAATTCTTTTCCATGTGGCAAGTACAAAGTTTGATAAAGATATCTTGCAAAATGGAAGCACAAAAACTATTAAATTCGAGAAATTTCTGAATTAGAAAAAAGCCCACACTATAATAGGTTGATGTGTGTACAAAGTTCCATGAAAATATCCAGAAACAAGACCCAGGTTCCATGAATAGACAAAAGGAATGACTTGAGGCAGGCTATTTTAACATTCTTTCTTAACACTGTTCAATGCTCTACAATAAGTTCATAATAAATACTATTTGTGTTCATCAACCCAAAATCTGTGTACACATTGGCATACACGTAAAAGATCCATTGGCAGTTGGAATTTGATATAAGAGTAGGCCATATAGTGTCACTGCCTAGGCAAAATTTCCCTCATAGCACACTGTATGATGTATGGACTTCTTCATTAGCCCAGTCAGAGCAGAACAGTAGGCAGTTAAACCCCATCTCATTTCATTTCATTTGTCAACCAAGAAATAATACTAGCAATGAAACAAGAGAATAGAGGTCAACATAGTATAATTTACATCAAAAACAGCAGAATGGAATATAACAATAGCATATGGCATGTCAATATAAATGAAATGAAATGGGGTTTAACGTCCTACTGTTCTGCTCCTATACTGGGCTAATGAAGACGGGCATATGCCATACAGTGTGCTATGAGGGAAATTTTGCCCGGGCAGCGGCACTATCGCCTACTCTTATATCGAATTCCAACTGCCAAGGGATCTTTTATGTGCATTCTAATGTATACACGGGACCTCGGTTTTTCGTCTCATCCACATGACTAGACAGCTGTCCTTGTCAGGCCCTCCGTTCTGCACCACTGACAAGGGGAAACCACGTCGGAAAATCCAGAAGAACTTTCTTGGTCAATGCAGGGATCGCATGTCAATATAACAGTAGATTATTTCTTAGTATAATTACAGATCTAGCTCCCGAAAGAATATTTTGTAGATATTTAGCTAATTAATTAATGATTAAAATGAAGCTAATTTCAATACAAAACATGGAGAATGTTGTTGTCTCAACCTTGAGAATTAACACTGAAATGTTTAACTACACTGAGGGTTCAAACTGATTACCAACCTGTCATAATTTTCCATATCGATGTAATCATAAATTTTTACAACTGTTTCATCTGAATCACCAACTGGTGGACATTCACTCGTTACTGTAAAATACAAAAAAAGTTTGATGCAAAAAAAATTATTCCAATGACACAGAGCCTTTAAACAAAATGACATCAAATGTGAGGGAAGGATTTGGCACAACAGATAGATAGTAGGGTTAGAGACTCTAATTGAATAAGGAGGGCTGGATGGCTGAATAGTTAGCATGTGTGCGCTGTAACATAAGGTCTGTCACTGAGTCAGTTGGCGTGGCTTCGATTCCCTGGTTGTAATTGACAAGGAGTAGGGTCGCCTGTCCAACCTCGTGCGTTTTCTCCAGGTCCTCTGATTTCCTCCCACTGCTCAAGACCCCTATGCACAAAGAATTATTGAAATAAAATTGAACCATATGTTAGTCCCGAAATGACCAAATTTATATGGAGTGGACCTTAAACCACATTTCTCTCTCTCTTTCTCTGTCTCTCTCAAATTGAATAAGACACTTCATTCCTGTATTACAGTATACCCAGCTGTAAATGGGTACCGGTAGGATTGTGTATGCAATTACACAAAACACAAATGGAATGACTGATGAACGCAGTCTGTTCTCTTTGGGCAGCATAAGTTGGGGCTCTTTCTTGAGATTATTTTAAAGTGCTCAGGGGTAAAGGGAGATAATCAGACTATTCCTGTATCCTGTAATGTTGTAAAGTAATTACCGGGTATGTTCATTGTTGCTCTTGTGCATAATTGTTGGTTATGTGAATAAAGTGTATTATTAATATACATACTATTATTACTATTAATACCATTATGATCAACATTGATTTTTAAGTCATGAATCTCTAGTTATTACATATACTATTAAAATGCTCAGCTGATCGGCTAACAATGTAGGTTTCAGATTAAGTCATGAATCTAAAGCTATTATTATATGTGCTATTTAAATGCTCAGCTAACTGCCATGTAGGTTTCAGATTAATGGTCATGAATCTAAAGTTACTTCATGTACTATTAATATCAAATCAAATACTCTAACTCCATATTTTTTTAGAATTTTAAAATCATGATAGCTTTGTTACAGGACATTCCAATTTGGTTACTTTCAATCACTTATGACATTTTAAACAAGTCAACTTATATTTGCCAGTCATTTTAGGAGATGTTTCTTAATCTGGCATGGAGAGCATTTAGCCATCCTCAGTATCCCCAGTGGTCTCATTCCGTTTTACTCCACTGTATCCTAGGTTCATCCATGGGGTATCCACATATTCAAATTATCCGCCCTTGATCAAAAAACAGTTAACAAATGAGTCTTACGTTCATAACAGTGGTGGCTTGTTCACTCAATTATCAGAAAGGTTGCAAGAAATTTAATATATAAGAAGTGACCTGCACAAAGCATCTTTTCGATGAGAAAGATGTTTTTATGTCAGTTCTTATGTATTTAACGATTTTTTGGTCGATAAAAATAGCACAATCATCAATGGCAGATATTTGAATACGTGTCTCTCCCATGGAAGAACTCAGGGGTTAGTGGAGTGGAGCGGAATGAGACCACTGGGGATACTGAGGAAGGCATTGAGCTTGTTGATTTACCAGGATGTTATATTCAACTGTTCTATTCAACTGCTATATTCAAAGGGTCAATAAAGTGGTTTCACTAATGTTTGATTGTACATACTATATATTTCATTTTTTCTGAATGTATCAGTATTGGGCTTGAAAACAACAAGAGAATCATTGTAGAAACGTATCTCTGATTAAAAATACAGTAATTGTTTTCCATAGAACTGTTGTGTTTTTTTTACTAATTAAACTCCATTATATTTCATTTTATGGCCATTTAAACAAATTGCTGTACGCTAAAACCTCGCAATAACCATTTTAAAAAAAATCGTAAATAGTGCCATTTATACATTTATCAATAATTTTTGAGATTGTTTTATAAAATGGAGCTTAAACTGCTAGAATTTCTAAAGGCTGATTAATGACAGCAAGTTATTCTGACAGGTATAAGCTTACATCCATCTTTAAAAATACAGTTTAAAGATGCAGTATGTAAGAGGTTACATCTGCCCATTACAGGTCTTTATTTTGGCTTCAAATGTGATATAAACTATTATATAGACATTTATTCACATGACAAACCTATACTCATAATCTGGTCTTTAGGCCATTGGATGGCAGAGATTTAAATCGATTAAAAGACATTTGCCATTTAATGATTTAATTCAAAAATGACGAATCAAGGCCCAGTCTTGAATAACAAGTACCGTTGTTACGATAATATACAACCTATGCCTCATCTTGTCAAAACTTCAAATAGTGATAACGTTGCTCAGAATAAAGTAATTTGAATGAAATTATCAATATCTTCATTTTGCATTATCTGTTTTTGAACTATTATAGCAAGAATGACCAGCTCTATATCTAAATCTTACAATGCATCTTTAATACTTACCTTTTTTTAAAAAGCAGAAAATACACAAAGATGAAATCAACACATTAAAATGTATCAACACCATCTTGATTAGATAAACAGGTCAGACCTACTCTGTGTGTATTTAGATAATACTTACTGGAAAATAAAATGATAAAATATATTTTGTAAAAGAAAAAAGTCAATATGTGTGAATACACGAACTAAAAAAGTACATAAGGAATGTGAGTAATGTATCGTAAACCTATTACATTAATACTTTTGAACTGAAACTGATTTGAAATGTGGTTTAAATTATCACTTTTTTGTACCAACCAGGCAAAGACGAGATAGGCATGCCACAACATTTCCCATGATGGACAATTTGTCCTTTTTGTGTGTTAGCTATGTTTTGGGGACAGGCTTTAAGGGGGGGGATGCTTTAACGGGCAGCAGTGTTTAGCGAAAGCTAAAAGTTTACCCTTTTTCCAAATGGTCACAATGGTGCACCTTAAAATTAACACACACATAAAATCCACAAATTTTTATACAATGACTATTCATTTTTCAAAAATTGTCACTTTCTACCCACTGAAAAGTTTGCTGAGATTTACGTTCTTTCAAGCCAGTTTATTTCAGGCAATTTAAATTACAGCTGGCTACTGTCTTATACCTTAATTAGGTTCTTCAATACATTCCCAAGACTCCACAAGATTCAATTTATGTTCTGAACATCACGGTTCAAAATGTGGCAGACAAATCAGTGGTCATAATTAGTCAAGCCGGGTAGGCCTATAATATATAGAACTAAAAATCACATATTACTAGGTAAAGCCAACACTCATACATTCACAAGTTATTGCACCTACATGTAAGTTTGAACTTGTAGATGGTTCAAAACAACAGTTCTTGAAATGTAATGTATCCTGGTTTGAAAAAAAACCCCAAAAAATGAGTCTGACATATTATAGGTAGGCCTACAAAATAAACCCTTCTCTAATCTTATAATACGGTGCATGTCTGCTGTGTTAAATGAAAGCTGGCGATTCTAATTCCTAGACAAAATAAACAGGTATTGACTAGAAGCCAAAATAAAAAAGATTTTGACTTACGTTGTACTTCAACCTGTGTATCAATAATCTTAGTCATAAATATTATTTACAATAGAATAGAACACACCTATAAACAAGTCTTCATCATCCAGACCGACGTCTACAAGGAAATTATGAGTTACCCCCCTTCTAGAAAATTGGAGTTGTCTCCCTTATGCCGTGAATACGTCAACTTATAATTTTTTTATTTTTTTAAACATGTGTACCGGTGAAATAATAATAATAATTATTATTCAACCAAAGCACAGTATTATCATGAAATCGATTTTCTAAACGGCATAGTATCAAAGATATAAAGAAACAATATCTTCGAAGCATTTCAAAATTTTGCAGTAACCCAGCGGGCACGCAACGTTGTTACAACATTGTGACAACGTCAATATTGGTCGTGACGTTGTACAACGTGTTTTCGACCAATATTCGACGTTGTATTTACGTCATATACAGGTTGTTGACACAACGTTGTCACAACGTCATCAAAACGTTATCAAAACGTCATATACAGGTTGTTGTCACAACGTTGTCACAACATTGTCACAACGTCATCAAGACGTTATTCTAACGTCATATACAGGTTGTTGTCACAACGTTGTCACAACGTTATCAAAACGTCATATACAGGTTGTCGTCACGGCGTTGTTACAACGTTGTTACAACGTTGTCACAACGTTGTAACAACGTCTTCAAAACGTTATCAAAACGTCATATACAGGTTGTTGTCACAACGTTGTCACAACGTCATCAAAACGTTATTCAAACGTCATATACAGGTTGTTGTCACAACGTTATCAAAACGTCATATACATGTTGTTGTCACAGCGGTTTTACAACTTTGTCACAACGTTGTCACAACGTCTTCAAAACGTTACCAAAACGTCATTATTATACAGGTTGTTCTCACAACGTTGTCACAACGTTATCAAAACGTCATATACAGGTTGTTGTCACGGCGTTGTTACAACGTGGTCACAACGTTGTCACAACGTCTTCAAAACATTATCAAAACGTCATATACAGGTTGTTGTCACAACGTTGTCACAACGTTATCAAAACTTCATATACAGGTTGTTGTCACAACGTTGTTAAAACGTTGTCACAACATTGTCATAACGTTATCGAAACGTCATATATAGCAGTTCGAACCTTGACCTCTGATTGTCAAACCAAGGTCACCACGAGACTCCCAGGGGTCAATTTAGTTTAAATAGCCACGACCTCAAGGTCGTCGGATCCGATTTGGGATTGGCGAGTTATCTGCCCTTAGACCACACCGCTGTAATGCTCAGCTATTTCACTTTCTAGGGAAATTTGCCCCAAAAATGTCTTCCGATCGCCCCAGGGTTTGGTGACCCGATAGACTGACCCAACATTTGTTCTTCATTTTTTAAAATCGCCAACCAAAAGTCGTGACCTTGACCCGCTAGGGGCCCCGGAAGTATTTTGGTTTTTGAACCCTAGGGGCCTATCTAATAAAGTCAGAACCACTGCACCTTGACCTTCCAAAATGTCATCTTGGTCCACATGACCCCGGTAGGTCAAGGTCATCTGAAAGGGTCAAGGTCACCAAAATATCTACTGAGTTCGATGCTCCCGGGCACATGGTGGGGCCCCTGGTCTGCGCGGCAAATCAAAGGTCATGACCATGGATAGGCAACTCATTGACCTTTCGAATGGGACCTTGACCTTTGACCTGACCCTTGACCTTGGGATCGAAAAAGTCCCAAAACTTCATGTACCACCCAGATATCGCGAATAAATGTCATGGTCAAAGTCGTGACCCGCACCCGCAAGGTCAATTTTGGGGTTGTAACCTGAGTCAAGGTCATGACATTGCCTGACATTCCCTGTTCCCGGCAGCAATTTAGGTAAAAAGTCACATTCAAAATCCCGAGAGAAAGTGAAAGCGGAACTTTCAGAATGTTATTTGGAAGAAAATATTTTGCTTTCTTGTCAGTCAAATAAAGAGCCCCAAATTCGATGATTTTTAAGTATAATAAAACATTTTCACTTTCTTGTCATTGAACACGGCGAATTTGTACTGCATTGATAGCGGATTGAAACATTTCGTCGGGTCCCACTCGGCGGTGTGCGACATCGGTCATTTATTTGTTTTATAATTTTTCGGAAATCATAATTTCCTTTAATGCATTAAAGTTATTGGTGTACTAAATAGGCAATACTGGCTTGCTTTCATGTTGCTGAGCACACGGGTTGGGAAAGCAAGAAAAGGCGTTTGCGTCCGTCAAGTATTATAAAAATGTATTATGAACTGTAAACGAGATGCCTCTCCCGCACCTAAATGTCGCTGTTTTTACATCCGGTGTTTTTCAATTGAAATAATAACACAAAGCACAGAAAATGGTGATTAATGCATATTGTGTAGTGTGCAGCGTTTGCTACACAAATTCAGTGCATAAAACAGGAATTGCAATGCGCTTATCTATAGAAATTGACGTATGATCTTGGGTACAGTTGTATTGGTTAACGACGTAGATCGAGATTTAATAACACAATACAAACTATAATACATTTTATTTAAGGCTTATTGTAAAACAACTAGAAGCTGACAAATATTCCGGTTAATTCTTCAGTAAATTATCTGGTAACACTAGCGGTTTTTTTTCCCGCGGAAACTGATAACGTGACTCTAAATGTTGCCGCGAAAGATGCTTCTGGGACGCCATATTGGTTTTTTGGTTCGTGCCGAAGGTAAGTTCTATTATTTTAACTCTCAACCGGGTATGTGGAAGGGATATAAAAATCGTCAATTGCTTCTTCTAAGGCTAATATAAGATCAGATAAAATTATATTGTATCTTAACACCCCATTAGGCTATTAGAGACAGCATACAAATACAAACAAAACATTAGGCTACCTACGCAACAGCATTATCAATGGCTATAAAACAACAAAAACACCAACTATATTTACATGTATGTAAAACACGCGCACCTATACATACATCATGTAGTAACAGAGACTTATTATTAAGTTGAATATGAAAGCCCCTCGAATATGATTACCGGCAATGTAGGCATGGACTTTGTTGACGACCGCGATGTAAGTGGCGACGTTCATTTCAAAACACACTCAGACTGCAACTGTGCCGAGTGAATTTCATATTTTTAAGTTATATTTTTAAAATGTATTAAAGTAAAGCTTTAAAATAGATGGTATCTATAAACAGTCCTACCTTGATCACTATTGCCAGTTGAGAAATTGGCCAAAATATCATTTTCAACTTCAAATTCAAATGTTTGCAGATAGTTTTTCCATGGGGGGGGGGGGGTAGAACAACAAAGGTGGTAATTGTGTTATTATTTCCGGAGTGAATGATTTTATAAGTGTCATAATGATACCTATGATCCTATAATATTGAGTTGACAGCCTATTGAGCAAAAGATATAGAAATAATTATGTTTTGACTTTCTTAGAAAATATGAAATTCTTGCTTTAACTATTAAAACTAGCTGGACCAGCTGCATGATTGTGTCAGTCCGCTCAGAATACACGAGTCTAGGCCAAGCGACGTAGAATTTAGAACCGACGTGATCTGCACTAGTCTAGGCTAGACATTTGCGTTGATGTGTTGCGCAAGTAGATCTAATCTAAATGAAATCTCTCATCATTAGTTTTTTCATATTACTCATATACATAGCCGTTAAACGAATAATTTGCGACACATAGCAAGCCATTTGATCTATTCTACACGTCACTGGGCTATTTGATTTGACGGAGTTTTGTTACCCACGGCAAAATCTCGATCGACGTAGACTTAACGCAATTTTTATCATTCGGTTTCACTAAACAAATTATTAATAAAAACAGCCGTAGATCGACATCTAATAGTGCTAATGTAAATTTAATAATACTATTCCGGTATAAAAAAAAGAAATAATAATAAAAGAATAATGAAATCAATTCAATCTCTTTTAAGTATTTAAATGATCATTTTAAGTAGATACCGTTATATTACTGAGCGCCATGGAAAACGCATCACTTTTTTTCCCAATTATTTTATTACTAGTTGGTTTTGTATGTATAATATTATGCAATACTATGAACTATTGTTTCACACAATGCTCCCAAACGCAAAAAATTTCGGCCCGTGTGCACAAAAAAAATTGCATGAGATGCACATGAAAAACCCAATATTCACGTGCAGCATTGTGTGTGAGCCATTTAAAAGCATGTTTTCAACTTAATGTGTTGTACATGAACTGTGAAACGTCAATTTGTCGTAATTTGTTGTTGGACGTGTGAAGGAATCGAGCTAGAGATGCCGAGACTTACTGAAAATCAACGGAATGAAGCCATGGGAATGTCCAGGGCTGGCATGTCTACGCGTGCTATTATTGCCAAACACCTCAATTGTCATCAGTCCACTACTGTAAGGTTGGTGGAACGTATTCGAGTTACTGGATCAACGCGTGACCGTCAACGTCCTGGTCCACAACGCGTTACAACCCAGGCTCAAGACCGCTACATCCGGGTCACTCATCTGCGTGACAGATTCTGCCCAGCGACTCAAACATGTGCGGCAGTGGTCGAAAGACAAGGACCAGTAAGTGCCAACACCGTAAGACGTCGTCTAAGAGAAGTAGGACTCGACGACGACCTTATGTTGGAGCTATCATTAGGGATCATCACCGTCAGCGGCGTTTGATAGGGGCTCAAGGACACACCAGACATGGAGAAGAGTAGACTGGCAAAGTGTGCTCTTCAGTGATGGGAGTTGCTTTCATCTTTATCACGCTGATGGCCGTCAACGTGTGTGGAGATGTCTTGAGGAACGTCTTGCAGACTGCTGCGTCTTCGAAACGAATCGATGGGGTGGGGGAAGTGTAATGATGTGGGGAGGCTTCACATTTCATCACCGGACCGCCCTACACATTTGCAGGGGTCGCGTTAATGCTGTAACCTACCGTGATGATGTCTTGCAACCAATTGTTGTTCCGATGTTTCGAGCGCACCCACAACTTCAGCACTTCCAACAGGATAATTCACGTTCGCATACCGCCCGTTTTAGTATGGACTTCCTGGCTGCTAACAACATCAATGTCTTGAACTGGCCAGCCATGTCTCCGGACATGGCACCAATAGAACATGTCTGGGATG